ACCAATATGGATGCCGGGGAGACGTCCTGGGTACCGTTGGAAAGCCGGCATTGCCTAGAATCAGGCCGCCAAGTATCAGACCCTGCATCCAAAGAACACCCGGGCAATCTGGCGTCAAACTCAGCAGGCGGCCCGAACACCTGCAGGGTCCATAGTGCTTTGCTCAGGCTAAGAGGCTATACCTCCACCAATTTACACGCCAGGGAGACGTCCAGGGTACTGTTGGAACGCTGGGGTCGCGTGGAAACAGGGCGCCAAGCCTCAGATGGTGGGAGCAGAGGATGCCCAGGCACTCGGGCATCAAAGTCAGCATTCTGCCAGAACTCTGGCAGGGTCCATAGCACTTTGCTCAGGCTAACAGGCTGTAACTCCACCAATATAGATGCCGGGGAGACGTCCGGGGTATCGTTGGAAAGCCGGCATTGCGTAGAATCTGGCTGCCAAGTATCAGACTCAGCAGCCAAAGGACGCCTGGGAAGTCTGGCCTCAAAATCAGCACTCTACGAGGACTCTGGGCGGGTCCATACCGCTTTGCTCAGGCTACCAGGGTGTAGCTCCGCCGATATGGATGCCAGAGAGATGTCCGGGGTACCGTTGGAAAGCTGGCGTTGCGTAAAAACTGGGCGCTGAGCTCCAGATGCTGCATCCAAAGGACACCGCAGCAACCTGGCGTCCAACTCAGCCCTCCGCTAGAACTCTCCTAGGGTAAAGACCACTTTTATAACAGGCTGTAAGCCTCCCAGTATTGGTGCCAGGTAGACATCCAAGGTAGCATTGGGAGGCTGGCGTCATGTAGAAACAGGGGGTCGAGTCCCAGAAGCTGCATGTGAAGGACGCCTGGGCAATCTGGTGTCAAAGTCAGCACTCGGCCAGAACTCCGGCAGGGTCCATAGCGCTTTGCTCAGGCTAACAGGCTGTAACCCCACCAATACGGACGCCAGGGAGATCTCCAAGATACCGTTGGAAAGCTGGCGTCGCGTAGCATCCTGGCCCCGAGTATCAGATACTACATCCAACAGGTGAGCCGGCAATCTGGCGTCAAAGTCAGCACCCCGGCAGAACTCCACTAGGGTAAAGACCACTTTCATAACGGGCTGTAACTCTACCAATATTGGTGCCAGCAAGACTTTATTATTATTATTATTATATATGATTATGCTTATGGGACCCGCAGATTATGAAGTGACCATAGCATACATGAAGTAACCCTGAGGCTATAGGTCCATGATTCCCTCTCTTACATGCTAGTAGCAACTGTTCAGTGGGCACAAGCTATAATGACGCAAAGAAATCCACCACCCCTCCTAAAGCCTAGCCACTATGATAAAGGAAATAAATGTAATGAAACCTAAGTAGTCCTATTCCTCCTCTAGGTAGCTGCCTGGTGTGCGTGAAGGTAGGTGGGGCACTCCTTGAAGGTAGCCATGTGATCGTTGCCGCAGTTGAGGCACCTAATGGTTGTATGAAGGCAAGGCTTACCTTTAGTAGGGCAGTCTGATCTGCTGTAAGTGTTGAGGTAGGCTTGCTATTCCTGAGGACAGATACCACAGTGGGGGGTTTTGTTGCATTGGGTCGGGTAGTGGCCGAATTCCAAGCATCTGGAGCATTGAGTGTCAGGACCAAAGGCCAAGTAGCGCTATACCTTGAACTTCCTGCCAAAGAGTGAGAGGCCTCTGCTGAGGGCTTTTTCTGTGGAGTCTTTTCCGGCAATCGTGAGGACCATGGCGGAAGCTGCCTTGTCCTTATGTTGGCCTTCAGTGGTGAGCGACCTAGGTAGGTGTAGGAGGTAGGTGCTTGGATTGAAGCTCCCAATCTCAGCCTAGACTGTGGGAAAGGTAGAAGTGGTGGTAATGCCATGGCCAATGACCTTTTGCCAGACCTCATCCATTCTGAGGCCGCTAGCAGCAGGAATGGTGGCTCTGATAGCCTCCTCAATGGCAAAGCAGTGGTTTTTGAGGACATTGGAGGGAGGGGTATTCTCCTTGGTGATGCGGAGGACGTGATAGTTGGGGGTGAATTCGATGTTGGAAATCAATTGCTGCTTGATTGCTGTATTCGCAGCATCGCGGATGGTGAGGTGGTTGGTGTTGTCAGCTAGGGCTGTCCCATCTCTTTCAATGACAATGGTACGGTCGCGTTTGGTAAGGAGGGACAGGAGAGGAGTTTTGTCTGGTGAAGAGGTAGGGGGTTTGACTGGGACTGCTCTGGCAGCTTTCTGGGCCCAGGTTTGCGTGGTAGGAGGTGGGGGTAGGGTGGATTGGTGTGTGGTAGACGGTTGTTGTAGGAGCTGTTGAGATTGCAACTCCGTGACCCTGTTGGTAAGGTGGGCAACCTCGGCTTGGAGGTCCTGGATGTCTTTGATATGGCGATCTTGAACAACTGTCAGGTGCTGCTGCATAGCTTGGACAATCTGGTCCATCTGGTTGTGGGCTTTGATGACTTTGTAGAGCCTGCTGTTGATCATTTCAATGCTGGAAGGTTGTCCTTCAAGCAGGGTGAAGGTGGTTTTGTCTGATTCCACAACAGAAGATGCAGAAGCACCAACTGTCTGGACTGGGGATGGGGTGTCCTCCATCTCATCTTCCTCCATGGGGGTGTCGGTAGGCCAGGTGAGGTGTTGGTAGGGTATGTATGGTTGAAAAGGTCTTGCAAGGGGGTTTGAGGCCGCTTTGCCTCCGCCTTTGCCTTTAGGGGGCATCAGAGGAGTGGAGAGCATGACTCAGTTGATAAAGATGATGGAAAACAAACAATGAAGGATGGTTTGTTGATGAAAAGTCTTTAGGATGGGCAGGGGAAGCGGTGTGAGTTGGCTGTTAGCCAATGAGGTGGAAGCTTAGCAAAAAATTTGGTCTGGTTTTTTCTCTCGCTGTGGTTGTAACAGCAACAGAGTCTGGTGCCAGGTAGATGTCGAAGGTACCGTTGGAACGCTGGCGTTGTGTAGAATCAGGGCCCCCAATATCAGACGCTGCATCCAAAGGATGCCCGAGCAATCTGGTGATAAAGTCAGCACTCAGCCAAGACTCCGCCAGGGTAAAGACCACTTTCATAACAGGCTGTAGCTCTACCACTATTGGCGCCGGGCAGACGTCCAATGCACCGTTGAAAAGCTGTCGTCGGTTAGAACCAGACCACTGAGTATCAGATGTCGTGCCACCAGGACACCCAACGAATCCTGCATCAAATCCGCATTTAACCAGAAGCTCGCTAAGTTGGTAAACCAGGCAAAGTAAACAAATAAGTCCGGAATGTAGGTGAGCTAGGAGGGGGGGAGCCGGTAGTAGTGGTGGAGCCAGTAGGGGGGACCTGGGTAGGGGGTGAGCCAGTAGGGGGGGAGCCGGTAGGGAGGAGGCAGTTTGGGGGTGGTTAAGGCGGAGCGGCTGGCACCTGTCTTTATTACTCAGAATCTCAGGATGGTAACTACTAGTAGTCAGCATCGCTTATTTAGGATGTAATCTGGATGTGGCACTTCCCAGCATAAGTACTAGGATGTAACCTGACTTGGCGCCCAACTACCAGACGCACAGGACACAACCAGACCAGGCACCCGAGTACCAGATACACAGGACGCAACCACACCCGGCGCCCGAGTACCAGATGCACAGGACGCACAGGATGCAGAATTCTTCTTGCTTGCGTCAGGATGCACTGCCAGCGCACCTGACGCAGCAATAATATTTGCTGATGGACACACTGGATGCAAGAGTAAATTTTTGCTGATGAACCTTCATTCCAAACACCTAAACAGTAAAGAAACCATTTCATTTCTACATAAAGCTCCTATACCCTCATGGTCCTGAGTTCTCCACTAACCTCCCCCATGCTGGATCCAACGACCCACAGCTACTCCAAGTACCAGACAAAATAGCCTCTCGAATTACAAGTAATGACTAACAACTGCTAGAATGCTGTGAGCAACCCATGTCCAAACAACAGGTCCGGAAACTCTACAGTCCGGCTGCACAAAAGAAATCATGTAAAGCCCACACCTGCAAGCATGTAGAATGAAAAGAGGCAATTAAATACACTACATGGTAGGGCTGCATACTGAGCTGATTGGTAACCAGTCTGCCAGGCTCAGGACAGGATGATAAAAAGAGTCTGAACCAGAGGAAGAGGTGACTGAGATCACTAGACTGAGCAGGTGTTAGTACAAGAGTGACAGTGTTAGCCAGGCGGTAGGGCCCTCAGATAAGCACGGCCAGAAGTGTGAAGTGAAGCCACTTGAGGTGACCAGGAGCAAGCAGATAGGAGAGCAGCTCCATAGTTGTGAGGAGGGCAATTGAGTGCCTGAGCAGTATGGTGCTGGCCAACACATTGGAGAGGAGAGAGAGGAAGGCCTAATAGGTAAGGAAGTCCCACGTGGCACCCGACAGCATAGCCCAGATTACATCAACAGCCTTCATGTCATGGGCCTCGGGGCCCACAACCTACCACTGATAACTAAGCTGACTATCAGATGGCTGACAAAACCTCTCCTTCCTTAAGCCAACCATACCAAAACTAAGTACACCTAGTCAGGATAGGGTAAGAGAAGAGGTAGTGCAATGAGTGGAGCTCTCAGCGGACCAGGAGGAGGGACCAGGAGGGTTAACTTTCCTTAGGAGACCAAAGAGGTGTAGGGAGGGTGAAAAAGGACTCAGAGTTGAAACAACATAGCCCTCACCCCCCCAGTAGATGGTATACAAGGCCGAAAAAGTGGTGATAGTTCTCTGGTATTGAGTCATTCCCCAATTGGAAATATTTTCCAATGTCTGGAGTTGTAATGGAGATGGAGGATGACTCTAGGGATGCCATATGCTTAGTAATATATAATAATAAAATAATACTATGATTTCTCCTGAGTCTCCCTCAAAATTGATTAATCTTAACTTATATTCTTTCATATACTCTTAACCAAATCATTTAGCCGTTTTAAGTTTTCCCTCTCTTAATACTCAATTTCTCACATATATTACTTTTATTTTCTTTTTTTTTTAGGATGTTGTACTATGTCTTCTACTTAATGCCATCTATTTCCCACTCACTGGCACATTATTCAAAACTCACACCACTCAGTCAGGGTTGATATAAAATTCCCCACATTTCTCGATTCCAATAGTTCCTACTTAGAATTCATTACCTCTAAGGATCTGCTTAAAAGAGAAGCTGTCTTCCTCCCCTTTACCAAACTCCAACGAGAACACAGACATCGTGCCTTACCTAGATCGCCATTCCCAGCATAGCTGCCAGAACCCTTACAATGTTTTGATTTTTACCGTTTACCGGGTTTCCACACTTATATAACGGTGGCCACACTCCCCGAAACCGCACCTACTGCTACCTTGCAATACTCATACGAGACCCATTATTTCACTCGATGTCCAGGGACCAGGGGTATACTCCCCGCCCCACACAGCCCCCGTGCACCCCGGGAGCAATCCCTAGATTTCTATATACCCCCATTTTCACCATACACCCATCCATTTCTAAATATCCAGAATACAAGAACCACCTTTAACAACGTAGATAAAGGAAAAGTATAATCATTACGAGCGGAACGGCGAAACCATAACAGCAATAACCAGAGAAGCTCCCACAGCACCGACAACCAACGTATTGAGAGGGACCAAGAAAGAGAAGATAGGGGGAGAAAAATGAAATCGCAAGTCATTAGGTGAAAGTGGCAGTGTTAGCAATCTCGATACACAATCCACCATTTCCACCCGCATTGATCGTGGCATCAGGTCTCCAGGGGTCCTCTGCAATTTTCGCAGTCTGCGAAGTCTCGAACACAACCTTTCCACCAGGCGGACATTTGAACGAGTTGAGATTTCCGGAGGGCTTCACCCATTTTTCGCCGCCAAAGCCACTACCGTAAATGAATTGAAAAGTGGTCTTCTGGAAGTTAATCTCTCTCCTTAGGCTTGATGAGGCGACAGCAAGAACCTCCTCCCGAACCGGCTTTGTGTTCCATGTCGTCTGCATACTAACGTCCTTGCCGTTGTCCTTTAGTCTCCAGACAGAATAGAGCACCTCATGGGCGAGGTTGTCGCCATCGTTTGTCACAATGTGGAAGCTGCAGTTATTGCTTTCCATGCCCCCGGGAAAGTCGAATACCGAGAGTGTGGTCTCTTCACTTATGTTTGGCGCCATTCCGAATCCGACACGAAAGGTATTGAAGGGGAGCGAGGGAGGCTTATCCGGGAACTCTTCGGTCAGGTGGAGGTTCAGCGGTGTCACGATCAAGTTCCCATTCATGAGTTTCGGCGGGCATATGTCGCCGTTCGGAGCCTTGACGCAGGATTGGGGAGAGCTGAGGCCCGGTGTGAACTCCAGGGCAGGATTCACAGGGATATCGCCGGGCTTGGCGTTGACATAGGAGGCGATAGCAAAAAATAGGAGGGGAACTGTTGCTGAAACTCTCATATTTAATATAAGCGGTATTGTAGGGTATAGCAATGTGAGCAAAAGAGGTCTGTAGGCAGACTGAGAATTATATATTAGACGGAAAACCAGAGTGATAAGGTTATGAATGCTTATAGAGCTGGAATTTCTCTGATGAGTGTGCTAACAATTCCAAGAAATACAAAATCAAGTGCCGTGACCATTATATACACAATTGCGAAAGACTAATCGAAAATTTACCGCCTCACTTGAACTCTTAAAAACCTCTACACCGCACAGCCTCCCTGTCGCCGGACAGGCCTTGCATTCAAGAACCTTTCTGGAATGCATAGGGTAACGACGCAGTCAGCAGAATAAGCTCACCCAGGACAGGTTTGTCCAGCTAGAGCTAGAACGAAAATAGAAAATCGCTCAATCTATCATCTCCCTACCGGGTATTGAACAAGTATCCACGGTTGGCAGCGGGCAGTGCCTAGCTTATCCGAATCCCCGAGTGATAGGCCAGCGAGACAAATTACAAAACCTCAGATGAGAAAGATAGTTTACATAAAACCTTTAGTAAGAAACCATTCTGGACCTGGGAGAATTGAGGCACTCGCACAAATGATGGTAGGGAACGTGGCTTCCTAAAGGCCTAAAGACATTATATTTTAATGGTCAGCGCAGGCGGAACGATACCTGTAAGAGAGGCGGAGTAGTGGTCTTAGCACCCAATCTACGCACTCATACGGTATGTAATGTAATGTACGAGGCTGGAGCCAGAAATGGTGAGCAGTGTAAGGGTTTTCCACCGAAAATAGCCATATTCATGACCTTTCAACCACAGATTTAGTCAAGCAACCCAAACTAAATCTTCATCTCTATGTAAAACAATTCCATGGATTTTACTTTCCAACCTTGTAGAACTCTCTATCGAAAGTAGTTGAGGAAGTATCAGGAGAGCTATGGTCAGAACATTGGTCTTGGTGTAAGTTTTCATAATTGTGTAGAGGAAATGGCAAGGCTTGGCACTGTTTTCTGCCCCAATCCCAGAATATTGCATCCCAAAGTAGATACATATTATTTAATAATCCATGAGCACTTAGGGAGATATCTGACAGAATTTTGAACCATATCATTAATTTTTCAGTTTTTTTACAACTCCAGAATGTATTGAATAGAATGTATGAACTTGGATGATTTGGGTTGTTACATGCCATTTTGGTTATCAATTTTGTCACCAGCCTCATAGAAGCTAAGTATTAGACAAAGGAAGAATTTTTTTAGAGGGTCAGGGTTTGCTGCTGCAGGGGATGGTCTATAAGTTAGTTGAAATCTCGCATACTAGTATTGGCAATATATTGTACCATGGCCTCCATACTCGTACCAAGGTTACAGCTAGGGTGCTGCAACCCCTGAAAATTTATAGGCACAGTTTTCAGGGGCAGTCATCCTGAGTATCCAACAGCTGAATGTCAGTTTACTACTCAACATCTGTTTGTGGCTCAATGTTACTTTGTGGCTCAACCAACTATTAGGGCAACATTCATTTTAGTAGCTCTGTGTAATTTTGTAGTTCATAATATTAAACATGAATTTAAATTACCTAGAATTTATATTCCTTCTAGTAATCCTGGTTCTACTATTGTAAAAACATCCTCTTATACTACTTTTGATATTTATTCTAGTTTTTAGTTTACATGTAGAGTGAAATATGCATATCAATACTAGTGTCTACTAGTATAAACCATCTCGAGACCTCGAGGATTGTGTTTCTCAGTCAATCTAACAGGTGAAATATTGTAATTCAATTCAATCTCTTATTAACATACTCAAGACCTTCATAATGTAATATAATTTCTGTTATTACCTATAGAAATTAATAGTTTATATCAAAAATTCTGACTTGTTTAATTAATTATACAGTAGTATTTCAGAAAGACAATATAAACATTGAAGTGAAAAACAAACCCAAATGTGAACAATAATCTATCACTCTCTCACATTCCAATTTCCAAGATCAACCTCCTTCCAAATAACAATATCTTGTTCTATCTACTTTAATGTTATGTCTTAACAACTTACTTTATTATTCCCTTAGGGAAAAAGCAAAACATACTACAATGCTATACAACTTGCATGATTTAGGTGAATAATACTAAATGGACTTTATAAATTTGCTGCACACTTGGTCAGGACTCTGTCTTAAAATCTAGTCTCTCTAGACTTATCTGGAGTAATGATAGCAATTTTATCCCTTATAGGCAAATTCTCTCTTCTTCTGTTTGTATATGTCTCTATAACTAATCACAATTGTAGATTCAGAACTACCTGTGCCTCTGCTCCACTGGCTTCCATACTATA